GATTTGCTTTAGTTTGAAAAAAGATGCAGTGATTTCCAAAAACATGGTGAAATATCGTATTCGTTAAAATCACCACCATTATCGCCCATAGTCATTTCCCACCAAGACACATGCGTCCGAATTCCGCTCCCATATTGGCGCTTGATTTGAAGCTCACTTTCCCACCCTACTTCCGTTTTTCAACTTTCTTCCACTTCACGTGTGATCATGCGATCATCTAATGGTGGTGTCGAGAAAGGGTGATAGTCATCACTTGGAGCGTGGTACAGCATGCGAGGAATGTGGAGGACGAGAGTGGGGATACGGATGAGGCATTATTATTCTCTCCCTCCATTGTGCATGCCTACTCGTAAGCAATTTCTGCAGTATGAGATCTCATGTTGCCTTGTGATAAGGGACTGTCTTCACACTGCTTCACTGTTCCGGCTGTTACTGAAGGCGTTCTTCTCGGACACGTTGCAGTTGCGGCGTACCGAGTGGATGGAATTCAGCTGTAATTGTTTGGTTCCAGCAAGTCAACAATTTCGTCGGCGGCTCACAATGTACATCCACCCGTGTGGGTACTCCAGTGCACACACGTAAAACACACGCAGAGCAAAGTAAGCATGGTTCCTGAGGGTGAAGGCAAAAGTGCATTGAAGTTTGAGGTAGGTAGCAAATGGGTCATCTAAGGATGACCACTGGTGTGTGCTTCTTTATCCTTCGTCCATCATTTGTCCAATGAACATTGGAGTACAAAGCACCAAAGCCAATTCTTGTCACAAGTGAGTTCGCGAGTAGGCAATCCAACAACGGTGCGTCTTCTTGGTGCACATGAAGAAAGTGAAAAATAGGTTGATTGACGTGGATATGAAAGAATTCATACATCCTTCATGTTAACCTTCACGGAATGTCGATCTCGGTATTTTACTCCCAACTCTTTCCGGTCAGTGAAAGCACATAACTATTGAAGCAGCACCTTTGAGTGATTTATCATCAGGACCACATTTTGAGAGCCCCTTCCCTACGAATGGTGCATTTGGCCACCGTACACCTTAGCCAAGTGGTCTGCATCAAATGTGACGAAATGTTCAGAAGTGCAGCTTGTGAACTGAATGAAGCTCAACCTTAGAAGGAGGGAAGGTCGGCTCACACCAGACTCGGTGGAGGCTTGAGAATACGAGGGTTCAAAATAGTAGGGAGATAGTGCAGGTCCTAATAAGGACTACCGACCTGATAGACTATGCATGTGTGTTTTGTGGCACATATAAACAATCTCATGTATTTCACGAGGCCCTGCAAGCTCTAACAAATTATCGTCATTGGGCTAAATCGAATTTCACACGAACATTTTTTGGCGTCTGATAAATGAGCTCAATTAATCTTTACCCTCTTCGATGCTTATTGTATACTGTTGCTTAATTTGTCTGTTTTTGCATCTCTTTTTATCATTCTGATATTCATTGTCCCGATTCTTCTGCCAATGGGTGACTCTTATAATGCTTATCACACTATATGTTGTTTTTTACCTCTTGGTATCGCATCTGGTGTAAGGGCGGTAACCTTTTACCACCAAATTTGTTAATCTGTATACTTGGCTATTTTACTTAAAAGGATCATATCTGTGGACAGCCTTTTTTATGTGTGACCATGATTATTAATCCAACTGTAATTCTTACAAAGTGCCGTTGTGACTTTTTTGGACCAGGAGGTTCTTTTTTTATAGGAATGTGCATTTATTTTCAGTGACATTACTAATCGGTAATGTGTAATAATATAACCACTGGCCTCGCGATTATACTTACTACTGTGTTTTATTATAGCTAAATGTCAGCTTCACATTCCAAGTAGATTAGCGACGTAAAAGAGGGTTGGCTATAGCATTTTCCTGCTCATTAAACTCTCTTATGCTTGATATTAATCAGTGAAACTGATCTTGAAACACTTCCTTACCACACGCCATTACTTCTCTGACGCATAATTGTTGTGGTGGCATTTTAAATAGCCTGTATGTCCGTTAGCTTTGACATACTAGGCCTGATCCAAATGCCTATTTTAACCACCACTTAAAGCATTTGGTCATTTTCCAGTCTGAATTAAGGCAATAAATTTCACACTTTGCACTCAAATGTAAAACATACAGCCAACGAGCAACATGAACACTTAAATACTTTTCGAAATTTATTTAATGATTAAATTTTGGCATTACTTCAGTGATTTTATCACAAAAAATGAAATATGAGCAAAAACGGAGAAGTTAGTGTCTTAATGACTGTATTTTGCTAAATAATCATTTAACTCATTATAAAGGGGCATTGTTTACCGAAAATAAGTAATTTCCCAGCACTTTTTGCAAATTCCTACTTTTTTTGATTTTTAAGGGAATTTTAGATCTTAATGCTAAGGACATAGTGTCATTCCTTTGAAAATCATTACAGACGATTAATAAAAAGTAATTTTATTCTTTTTCACACAGAACGTTGATTTTCGTATAACAAAACACGCGGTGGTATTGATTGACAATCACACATGGCTATAATATAGTTTGGCAGCCACATGCTTAATGTTTAACGCCTTCTCATTTGTACTACCCGAGTATTTTTTCTTTATCGACGGCCAATTTGTCTGGCAGATTTACTGGAAGGAAAGCTCGAAGTTGTGTCAATGCTCTCAGGGAGAGAAATGCTCTTCGAAGCCTGCAAGATAATTCGTTCTTAATTTAAATACTTGGCATTTGAAAAAATTTTCCTTACATACGACTCACGTAATAGTTCAAAGCATTTGGCCCGGGCGTGAAGAATATATGAGTTTGAACCGTGTACGTGTGTTGATCACGTGACACCTTGGCACCTTGAAGGCCATCTCGAATATGAGATGACACCTCAGCGGTAGGTCGTAAGTGAAGCGCGAATAGGGGTACATTTCTGCATCAAGTTAGCAGTTTATATTGCTGTCTGAAAGCAAAATTCCAAGAGCCCGACTGGAACAAACGCCAGTTGCTGCAGAAGGTTTGATTAAATTAATCATTCCATTACGCTGTCTGCCCATAAAGTCTTGCATATCGGTATTTATGGCCAAATCTTTAAACATACACCATCTCCTTGTTTTTAAATATCAGATGGTATGCCCAGCATAAGGTTCCTTTAGGCTGTAGAAATCATTTAAGTAGCATCTCTTGAGTCATTACATTACATTAATCCAAGTATTTAGGTTTGAACTCCTGCAATAAGTCATCAAATTTTTAGATTGTTTTTTTTTTTCAACAATACTGGAAGCACCTAGAAGTACTAGAAGTAGTTTTAAATAAAATCCGCTCAAAGTTGTATACCACGAAACTGAATTCGACGGATAAAATATAATCAATATGGTGTTAAAACAACCTGTGGTATTTCGGTTTGTTAATTCAATATTCCGATCAATCAATCAACTTTTCAAATTGTAACCTATTTTTGATATCAATCCCCTTTTAACCATGGGTAGTATTCTTTGGGGTTTAGTTCCAGTTAAACCACGAGCTATGATGTGTTTCAATCCCGGGGGAGATGGCTCAAAATAAAGAGGACTTCTAAAACCAGTATTTTGGAAGCTTTTTTACCCCCCACTTCTGTTTTTAGTGCACAGATCACTGCGTTTCCGTGGGTCGAGGAACTTACGGTGGACATTTAGCTTGCATGCTGGGGGGCGTGGAGATCCCAGCACACCATTGCAAGCAAATGACCAAACCCGATATCACCTGCGAAAACTCCTTCTGTCAGGCCAAGTGGGTGGTCTCTGAGTGGTCCAAGGTTAGCATCACTTTGGTGTTCAGTATCTGCCAGACTCTCTAACCCCTTATAATATGTTCTAACACAAGTTGGGAATTGTAATGAAAAATATCAACTTTGGGAGAAATCTTTTAGTGCTCCGTGTCTTGTGGAGGAACAGGATATCAGTATCGGGAGCAGAAATGTGTGTGGGAGCACTCTGGCCAATCCGCTGGATCTGCTTGTTACGATGCCGAAATTGAGGCTCCTGCTGCTGTTCAGCAATGCCAGACAAGGCCTTGCAAAACTTGTGAGCTTTTGTCCTTTTTGCTGGCTTCAGGGCTAACCCGCTTCAGACGAAACCTCCATAATATACTACTTGTCTCCAAGGCCTATTTGGCTGGTAATTTTAACTTTTTTAATGAACAAAATACCATAGTGGTTAAAAAATTATCCAACAGTGTACGGTGACGTTTATTTAGTATTAGGCAACAAAAGATTATCCAAAACTGAAATTATTTCCCATAATGTGTACCAGTTTTCACAAATGTGCTTCATTGAATTCCAATCCTCCTGCTAACAAGGATTATGTCAACAGAAAATTGTATAAAATTATTTGAAAAACGCGAACGAATGCTCTCCTTGATGTATATATTCATTGCTGAAATGTATTTTACGATAGTTACAGCATGTTGAAAATGGTAGTTGTGGCGATAAAATTGATGGGCATAGGGAAATGGCTTTTACATTGGATACACTGCCATCAGTAATTTTTGAACTAAAGGCAAGTGATCTTTTAAAAAATCTTAAATTAAGTACCTGTAAATTTGCAAGGACAGGGAGCCTTTACAATTGGTCGTGCACAATTACGAATAATTTCTAAAAAACTTCACAAGAACGGAATAGCAAACTACTCTTAAATTGACCCACTACAATAAATATTATTTAGCTAGATTGACTTACTCGTGAACCGTAGATGTACAGTGAAAAAGTAATAAATGTTTCATACGGTGCACTGATCAAACGGAGATGCCGCTAATCCTTCGCTTGTATTTGTAGTGTGTATCGACTTGTCGGACCATTGTCCAAAGTACCGGCACTGGTGCTCTTTCCATACTTTCAAATACAACTGCTGCAAGACGTGTCGTGATTACGTGCTACAGCTAAATCGAGCAGGAGGCTGAATACATAACCACGATCCCTCTCTCCTTTGCTATCCTCCAACATCGCCTCTCGCGTACGCACAACCATCATGATCACCTTCATCACTATTGATATCAAATTCCTCTTTGACCTAAGTCACAAGATCTGCCTTCTTGGTCTGGCGACGCCAGTCTACCCGGCCTAATTCCCGCCTCAGATACTCCATCGATTGTGTGTACATTACCCCCTCACGAGCATCCGCTTACCGACTTGTTGACAAGCGACTTTGGACAACTGACTACATCTATTTTTATTTTCTAATTAAATTGCCAGAGCCGGCATGAAATGAACAGACAAAGCTGTAGAGGAAAAATTATCATCGATCTCTGATGCTTTTTTCGACACCTTTGAGGTTGTGGATCTACTCGACTATTACTTCAAGAGTATCATAAACTCACATGCACGTCTATTAAGCAATGTCATTTTCGTTAAGTTATATAAGGAAAGTGAGGAAGGATAGGCGGAAATCATTACTTGCCTTCAGACAATTTCCTCCTACTAACTTGGATTTGTCTTAAGCTTACATTCTCTACAGTTTTTCTAGAAGACACACATTGGAGTCGGCAACACCAAGATGTAATCACTTGATTTGCAATAAATGCGTTGCTTCATGACGATTACATTTTTAGTCAGCTATCAAAACATCCATTGACGGCTGGGGGCCAGACCAGGCAATACTTCCTAATTTATGATCTAACTTATAAGCTATCTCTGGAGAAAAGTAATGCTAGCCGCCTTTTATGGTGCATTACGCCTCACTTTGAGGTGTGGGAGAATATATTGTTTAGTGGAGAGGTATTGTTAGAAAAAAATTATGGCTCCTGGAATACGAATGAAAGAGCCATTAAGGGATGAGAAGGTATGCTGTGAGCCACGCCTTAATCAAAACAATGCGATGGTAATCCATCTAGTCCTTTGTTTCGAACAGTACGTATTATCCTCCTTGGAGAGGTGACTCATTGACATTATTAAGAGGACTGACGTGCCATAGTAGGATGTGCAAACCGTTGTGGAACTGTTGTGCACTGGGTAAATCTCATCAATTGATAACGGTACTTCCATTTACTTAATGATGGAAGACGGTGTTCATGCACTCGAATCTGATCCCAGATAAACCACACAATCAGAGACTAGGGACGCTGTGCTATTTTATAATACTTATTTATATGTATTAATGTGGAGTTCATTGCATTTCTGGAAATTTTTTTAGGCTGCTAAAACAAGCGGTGTCACTTATGTATGATGCAATCTGGAATCGAACCTAAAAATGGTTAAACCTTGGTTACTCATTGCGTCAAATTAATTTCACTCTTTCAGAGTTAAAACAACCAATTTTAGTTAGCGTCTTTTCTGAAGTAAAATACCATTAATTTCAGACATATTTCATTGGAAATTTTCATCCCATTAAACTGCATGCACGACATCTTTGATATATGGATCAGTTGTCAACACACTTGTCTTAAACAAGCTTAAGTTAAGTCTCAATCCGTATTCTTCGAATTCTGAACGAAGTTAATGATCCCTTCTTAAATGCTTAGAAGTTGCATACAGAACTGTTCGGTCATGTGACGATGCAATATAGACAGACGGGTTTACTGCAGCTGTACGGAAAAATACTAGCAAGCGTAAATATCGCATATACTTCCGCCCTAAGCTGTTTCAACCTAGCCGTCTAACATTTGTTTCAAACTAAGGATAAACTTGTTTCAGAGAATGGTACCAATGGAATCACGTCCACTTATAAAAAAACAATTTACCTATCATATATGGCGAAAGATTATTTAAATATCATACGCATATTATTAATACATTTCTAGGAATTTCTAAATAATAAATTCAATACCAACTGCCACCCATTTTTGAATAACTAGCAACCACGATGTTAAAGCAGTTTTGAGGTATTTGGATATTCCCAACAGGGAATTAGTAACTCCAAAAGTAAATATGTGTGGGTGGACTTCCTGGCTGTTATGAAGCAAAGTTTTGTAACCAATTTATTGTACGAAAGATCAACTTGTCAAAGAAAGTATTTGCAAAATGAAATATTAGGACAGAAATTTCTCGAAATAGATCAAACTGTGATTGGCCTAAATAAATTAAAATGTAGAAAACACTAAAGGAGGCCAATGGTTTCCGAACATACTTTTCTCAGGTAGTAGCCTTCAGTTTCAAAAGTAGATATGACTGTGCAGGTCTAATCAAACGATGCCCACTAATCTTTGGTACCAAAGTTGACTTGGTCTTAGTAATCTACGGTAACTGAGAGAGAGCATGTACCATTTCTTGACTCGTTTTAGTTTGGATCAACGAGTATAAGCTCAAACACTGTTGTTTATGGCAAAAATTATTTTCAGCAATCGCAATCATGCAGCTATCATACTCCTGGAATGATCAGACGAGTTGGACCAGGACATGGTCTACGGGATAATGCTAAATAAGCGAATACTGATGTCATGGTTCAAGCATGTTCAGAGTACGTTTCCAGCCTGCTACGACGTTCATATTTACTAAATGCCTGTCGCCTAAAGGGTACCTTTAAACAAACATATGTTACAGCAGCATCAAAAGTTGTTAACATTTTCCTTAGGACCCATTCAAATCCCCCAAATTCTTTGTTTAATGCTAAAATTCTTAACATTTATTAAATGGCAAGTTTGTGTAATTGTAAGTAAAAGTATATAGGAGGTATTTAGTTAATTCTAATCCTTTGGCTTCTTGATAAACAGGTGATATTTTTTTCTGAGCAGGCAAATAGTCCCCATCTGCGCGTTTATTTTAAATCAGTCATTAATAAAGATCGAGAAATCGACTAAGATATGCTAAAATTCCAAAAGAATGATTTAGCTCCCACTTTTGAGAAGACTCTTTTTAATGAATAGGCCTTAGTAAGTAGATCTTTTTAGCAATAAGAATTGCTGGTCTTTATTCATACCGGAAATATTTACAGCTATGTGGCGCCCTGCATGAGCACAAATAACCTCAATTAAAGAAAGATGCAATTCTTTTTGTAAATACTGTAGAGTAAAGCTAATGTTTGATTTAGATGTTTGCGAATCGGGGACAAATTCCTTTAGTACATCTTGCAGCACCGATACAACCATCGTTGTTGAAAGAATGACTTTTCCATGTACCTTGACCACAAATACATCCACTTCGTGTCAAATATACCTTAAGAGATTGCATGCTATGAAGTTATGTGAAAACCTGCATCTTCCAGTCATTCGTACTATTTCATGATAAAAGGAAAGTGATAAAAGGCATTATAGTGTTTCTTGCTTCATTATTCAGACCAAATTGGAGCAAATTTTAATTAATTTTGCAAAAATTTTATTTTTTTTAACAAATATTTCCTTTCCGACTTAAATAAATGACAAAAAGATTGCCTAATTTATATGGTAAGCTTTACTGGTTAACCTGCAAAACTTTCACCTTTTGACCAATTTCTGGATCTAACGTAGAATTAAGTGAGAGGTATTTCAAGTTGTCAGTCATTGCTCCGTGTGCATGAGTAAACAAGGTAAATCGCGAGTAGAATGACTCATGATTACTCTGTGTGCCTCGGTAACTTGCGGAGCTCAACTCACACGAAGGAGTGGATTGAGCACTATTACGGCTTCTGGACGCATCAGTAAATACTAGCTTTATTTAAGAAACAGGTTCATTGTTCGAAAAAGTGAATTTGGTCGAGGGGAAGATGCAAGACCTGTACCCGTTGGTAGATTAGGGCAGTGGTAATAAAGAATCTAGGCAAGTTTGTCTTTTCAAAGGTTAATCGAATTTGTTGTTAAATAAGCATCAGTCCAGGAAGATCTGACATTTTGGTGTGCGATCTAAGGCTGATGCCAGTTAAGGGGAAGAGAGTGAGAAGTCAACTAATTTGCCCAGTTGTGTGATTAGTCTTCTTTCTTGTGATTTTTAGTAAATCGGAAATCACCTCGACAGGTGTGAGTTCGAACACGCCTCTACGTTAGGCGTACTTCATAGCTCTGGGCTAGCTATATTGCAAATATTATTCCTTAATGATTGACTGGGCGTAGTTAAATAATTGCCTAAGAAAATGCGAATGTTTCCAGTGAGTCGGTACAAAAATACTAGTAGATTAGATTATTGTGCTACATTAACTATTTGTTTAACCATTCGTTTAGGTTTAAGAACACCTAAAACCCTGCTTCTGTGCGTTGATAATACGTGTTCTGGCCTAATATAATGCCGGTTTTTCAAGTTTAAGCGTATTCAAATATTCGAATTATACACATACTTATATCTGGTAATCATTGGTAGCTCATATAGCAAGGAAAAATAACTATCTGAAAACACTTAATGAAACCCATTTCAAAATAAAACCTATTCACAAATAACATAAGCTAATGCGTGCATGAAAAAAATTTAAAGCAGGGTTTACCAGTGAAGGTGACAAATGAAGCAGATCCTAACAAGTCTCAGGCTGTTATTTCCAGGATACGAATGAAGTGACCAATGCGAAGCACTAGTTTTCACACATGGGTCTACCAGATTCTTCTGATTACCTTCTGACCCCAACATCACATTGCTTTGATATCTTCATCTGCTGCATCACCCAACAAAAGGTGCACAAAGCGAGACATTAAATCACACCAGGACTTAGCACGTATAAATTAAATCCGGGTATGGAAACGCCTCTAAAGTCTTTCATGAAGGCCCCAGATCCTTGAGTCTACTCTGTACGTAGTCTGGATCACTATATTAAATGTTGGTATTTCTCTGCAACCGACTCTTAGTAGACCGTTGCAGAGTTAAGGTCACGCAACATACAGGCATACCTTACTAGTTAATTACGGGTTCACTGCAGACATATGTCTTTCGGCACGACCTTCACCACTGTCACAATTGGCACTAGCAATTTGGCATCGTATGCGGACGATTGTCTGGAGTCTGGCTATACATGTAAGTTATGAATAGACAAATGCCCACTGGTCTGCTTTGCCCCTGGAACACCAGTCTTGCTTAAAAAAGAATTGGCGTTCAACCAAGAATATTCCTTGTACGCGCGAATGAGAAGACCGATTAGAAGCTACCTTGCGTTACCAAAAATCCCTTGACATGCAGCAGAGTACAATTTTAAACGAATTCCCGCCTAAGGAAATATCCCATTTGCACGCCATCTTTCTGATGGAGTGGAAGTATAACATTTTCGGCCAATTTCGAATGAAAGGCAGGTTTCGCATTTTATAGGCATAAACCCTAAGCATCTCCAGATGTATAGACTTTTGCTTACAAAATGAATGCAATAAATAATTTCCTGTTATAAATGACGCCCGGACAGTCGTTTTTGGGGTGAGGCAATGCACCGAATGAATCAAAGTTAGGCGACATACAGAACGCTAACCCATTATAAAAATTAATTAATTCAGAATTTGAATTTCGATTGTTTAAAAACACTTTTTACCAATAAGGCAAGAATGCTACAAACAGTCTCTGTTTTCAGCAGCATTACCTCCGTCTTTCACCTTCGCAGCATATAAGTTAAACAAATGTTAATTTTGGCATAATTTATCAGTGAACAAAAGTAAATTTATTCTCAGGAGAGTAAAAATTTATGACTAGTCGAAATTTTTCAAGAATGCTATTGGTTGTTTTATTTGGGCAAATTCTATGCTATTTTCAAAGCGGAGTGCGCTTTCAATTTATATGGGCAAAGAGAGGTTTAGTCTATGAAAAGATCACTCAAATATCGCTTCTCATAAAACTCGTTTATTTTAAAAAATTGATGTGGGAAGGTCGTTTAGGCAACTGCGTATCTCTTACTAGACGAAGTTGTAAAAGTTTTCCAAAACTTTTTTTGAAACATTCCGATAACAGTGAAAATGAGGTGCATGATAGGAATGGCGTAATAATGCCTCTTGGACTTGCATTTGCGTGTCACATTTGACTTGTGTTCTGGAAGTTATCACTACTGGAAGCCATTTTTGATCTTGCTTTGTGACATTCATAACATACTTTGAAATCCTAACTTAAAAGCTTTTTAGATTACCACATGATGGATTTCCTCTCACAAGCATCCTGGTCATGACTTAAAGGTAAATCACATAAATTAACCGATCTCAGTATGCTAAAATGTGAATTGGTTATAGCAGTGACCCGATGAATAGTTATGAATGTGGAAGGTGAGAGAGTTCGGTATTTTTTTCATTATACTACGCTAATTTTTGCGCGTGGTAAACCTCTATAGCTACTTAGGCTCAAGTATGGTATTGAATCCTTGTGAAAAAAATGATGCTCATATTCAATCAAACTGATTTTAAACACGTATATGGAGGCAAAAGCTCATTTTTATTCGTCACACAAAATCAAGGTATTTTTTCCACAATTTTATGTTGTCAGTAAAATTATGTTGGTATCTAACCGTACTTTTAGTTGTCAAATACCATCTGGGAGGGACCAGACGATAGCGGGTGTTATACTTAATCTTTGGAGGATCAAACATTTTGGTTGTATGAAATGTAGCCAGAAGGAAAGTGGTCCCAAAATCTTGACTAGTTATTTACGTACGTGACAACACAGTATGTTGAAATCTCATTTCTCCAATGATCAGATTATTATTAAACTAAGTTTTTCACTCACTATGAGCGAAAGTTAAACTGAAATTCTTGTTACAAAGTGTGGGTAGTCAAATAAACATGAATTGTGAGATTCCACGACGTCACTTTATATTGGATTTCCAACATTTGTTGCTAATAAACAAACAAGGCGACGTCTGTGTTTATGTTCTACACAAGAGTCACTCTATTGGTTTTTAATTTTGTTTCTATGCCAAATGGTTTTCGCTTAATACCCTAGAACTTCTTTGCAAAAGTTTGACATGTGCTTCAAGCGAAATATTTTGCCGCTTTACTATTCTTCGAAGTTGGTTATATGAAGGCAGTAGGAGGAGGTAGAGTCATGATAAAGTGTCCCTAGACTAATGTATTTAAGCTGTTCCAATACATTTTTACCAAAGTTATGACTCAAAGAGTAATTGCATATTCCAAGCCATTTATTAGGATTTTGTAACTTAGAGTATTATGAGATAAACCATGGATTCCTTCCCTTTGGCGGAAAAAAGCGACATCTATTTAGTTACTCATACACTATTACAATAAATATGTATTCCGTCTTTTACATCAACATTGATTATTTTCCAATTTAAAATTATGTTCCTCCGTTTAAAAGGGTTCTTCCAATTCAACCATATTAAATAGTTTTGGGAAAATCACATATTTAAGAGAGCTATGCATGATTCTAAATCTAAGAACAACATAAAGGAGGGAAACGGATGTTACTGTTATGAAGGACGAAGGATAGCGGTGGAAACTGCCATGGTAGCTTGATATCTGATTCAATTATTTGACATTTGAAAGTGAATACTTGAATTAGTAATTTAAAATGCGTAGCAGGATAGCCGTTTTTTTTATTCACTTGATATTTTAAGGTTCTTGCCTTCAAGTAGAGGAATATCACCTGTCCAAAATGGAAAAATCACGATTCTTTCTTTTTAAAACATGTGAAAATAAGCCAAAAAGAAGTAATAAAAGTTATGTATTACGAGCTTAATTTCCAACTTCCACTTTTTAATAAGAAAATTATCACGATAGTGAGTTTAATAGCAACAAATCAAGTACATTCCAGTGGTTGCCACCACAATGCCATCAATTAAGAGTAACAACAGATTGCACCAAACACTAATCATCTTGGGTGCATCACTGTGTGTAATATAAAGCATAAACCAATATTCTATTACCCAAAATTTTAGTGACGGAATACTTTCAGAACACGTCCTTTTTGTACAAATGCGCCTATTTAAAAATGCCGCTAGACCCAACGGGTAATAAGGGAGAATTATTAAATTATTATTAAACCAAAGTAGCTGCATTTCAAAACCGATTTTAAGGGATTATGCGACACCTAGCTGCAGTTGATAGAGACAGGGGGAGCAGAAATTCTCTCGGCTTTGTGCTAACCTGAGCGGAAAAACTCTTCTGGTTAGTTCTTTTTAGCGGGACCTGACTCATTCACATTGTACTCCCAAATCACTCTCTAAAGGTCCTTGAAACACCAATTTGAAATTCCGTTGGCCGTCAAACACGAAGACAATGTAGAGCTACTTTATGAATCAGGATTTAATAATGCTTATCCCGAAGAATGATGCCACTTGTCTTCACAGGAACGGTTATGACCTTATTGAGTTAAGGAAAGAAAATCTTAACGTATTTTTTGCCTACACTGAACATTTATTACTATTGCATTTAGTAGACTGATTCTTGCGTTCATCCCTGATCATTAGCCATTCCCTTTTATTCTAACTGGCAAATCTGTGTGATTGTTCGGCAGTTCAAAACTATTTTACTGTTTTCGGCTTATCAACGGTTCAATGAAATCATTAATATTCAACACTTTGTTATATACTATTTGAAAGTATAAATAAAGCAGGCAAACAAAAACAAATTAGTTCATAACATTACGGCGGAAATCTCAAGTGAAAGGGAAATATAAATCTTCATTGCGGTACAGACTTGTAAACTTATTTGCTTGTGACCTATACTTCCTTATTTAGCATTTTCACATCTTATATCCATTTACATACCCACTCCTAGAGTATCAAAGTATAATAAGAATTCGGCAGGAGTGAAATCTTTCTAATGTGAAAGATCTACCGAGTCGATTCCCACGCCTTTCATTAAACTATGGCTTACTCCTACCGTAACTGAGTTGGTTGACCAGATATAGCGTTGAAAACTACTTCCGGTTGCTGTAAATCATATCCCTCATGATACTGTAAAGAGCATGACAGTAATAGTAGTGTCAGGAAGGTCATAGATTTTATGCTCTAAATGCGGAGTCTCCAAAGACATTAAAGCCGAATATGAGTTTAACAATCTAAGCTGACTTTCGCACGTAAATCACAATATTCTTTTACCAGAAATAGTTTTAGAGGCTGATTAGTAATGGCAGAGATGTGCTTGCATGCATTTGTTTATATTTAAAATAATTAACTCTACTTTTTGGTGATTACTGAGCGGTGCAATGATTTAAAAAGGTGAAAAATCAGTTTTGCTTAAATGAATTTTTTCGAGCAAATTGGTCTAAGGTCCGAATTGGAGGAAAAGTGTCTCCTTAAACGGTATATTTATCAATCTAAAACATTTTTCTGCAAGCTCATCCACCATCCTGCGTAAAATGGCATTGCAGCTAAATGTGCCAGGATGCGTACCACAACCTCCCATTACGTTTACTTTATACCATCAAAAAGCCCAAAGCTCACTGTATCGCATCAGCTAAAGGATGCTTAATAATCAACCCAATCAAGCATCATTTAGCAAGAATTCAACATCCTCCTACAAATTCTTGATTCGAAATTTCTACCAATGGTATATTGGATCGTGTTTTTTACTTGCGAAGATGTTCCTCAGTACAAAATATAACTGGAAAATGACACGCAATGAGTGAATGATATTTGAAATAAAGTTTTCGCGTTTACATCATCTATTGGGCTACTGTATTGTTTCTCGCTAGATATTATTTTAGTCATAAAACTTTTCCCATTTTTTGTTAGAAATTACCTATTAATTTCTCGCAGAGAAAATATAGTTTATTCGCACTTTGGCATTACTCTGATAAAAATGCAGATATTTCTAGAACCTACTGTGCTTTTAAGAGTCTCGAGAGAACTTTATAAAACGCCTTTACTATTCTACCACCTAATCTTAATAATTTATCAAACTTCTAAAGAGATCGGTTTAATTTTAATAATACTCATTTTTAAAATATGGAGTCCATTTACTTGTAGGTCTAATAGGTAACTAGAAGCATGTGAGACACATACTTGTGTATAAGCAGTAAGCGTAAAACCTTGTTTTTTAATTCTTGGTTTTGGTAACGGGGCAGATATGGCTCTGCCATTGTACTTGCTCTAAGCACCATGGCCTCCGAACCATGTCAGTAGCCCCTCAGACCTTCTGTATATCGGCATTGCACATTCTATATTGGTATCATGTCCTCTTCCCTCTTCAGGGATGTCTCAGGGATCTGAGGTAAGTTCTTAACTAAAAAGCCAAAATGCCGTAAAAGTGATTATAAAGTGCCCTGAATCATTCAAAATACTCGTTTATAGATAAGTAAAAGTTGCTTGTTTTCCAAACTGAAAAGGTATATCAACATCATTTAAGTAATCTACCAGTAAACAGCAGAACTAATTTTTCACTAGTCGAAATAATGACTGCCTTTTTACGCGTTCAGCTATTAAATGTGGAAAATGATTAACAAATTGCTGGATCTAATCATTTTAGAAAATTTGGGTTTTCGCAGTGGCTTCAAAATTACGAGTTGCTTCACATTTTGGTACTCCGATCTCTCAGTCTAATTCCTAGAGTTAAAAATCTTAAGATTTCCAATATTTAGACCTTTTGGCTGTCAGTAAACTTATATTTTACAAATATCCTCTATTCTCATGTAAAACCCATCTAAAGATGATAATTGATAAATCTCTGAAGATATTTCCACTTTGTCATTCAATATTAAATACTTGTAACCTAAACTTATTTTCACAAAGAAAACTTCTGACCACAATTAAGTAAGCCTTAAAATTTTTAGTACTTTATGACAGTGGAAGCGCGGTTGAGCAAAAGCACTTCCTGTTATTTTTACATTTCACCCTCTGTCTGATCTATGATGAGGCTATGAACTCCTACAATCTGTATTTTACATACTTTCTTCCAGATTTGCAGTCGTCGTCCCAGCCTACTGCTTACCGCACTTCACAAGTTTCCTAACAAGTTTTTAACAATTATATAAAACTATGGATCTGTGTTTGATACTTCTTTATCCCCTAATTGTTAGGCAGCCTGACCGATGTCTGACATGAAGGACATTACAGTCGAAAAAGAACCAAGTAGATGAAGGGAAAGAGGGAAGTAGTAGGGATTTAAATTGGGGACGATTTAACTTGGTGATCTATTTTTAAGTTGATGCGAAGTTAGATAGGCCAAGGTTTGTTCTCATGTATTTCATTATTTCCGCAAGATATGTGGTGCCTCAATACATAGATATTTAAATATGAATGCATATTGCTAATGAAGGGTTTGATTAGTTTGCGCAGTTCTTGAACTTAATTGTATTGTTCCGACACTTCCCTGAAGAAGAAAGAAGACATCATACTTGGGCAAACAGGGGTGCTTGGAGCTACTGACTAGGACTGGGTGTCAGTCCACTGGGCTAAGGTACAATGGCGGAGGCCCAAGGTGGCCCCTTTATCAAAAACAAGAATTATACAACCAGCGTATTACGTAGCTATCAAAAGCCTATTTTATAATGGCTACCTAATACTTTGACCATTTGTCTAACTCATCGTTATGGTTTTGGAGACAAACAAGGCTAGAACCTATTCTGTTCCCTTTCATTTTTAAAGAATTCTCGAGGCTTTAAATTGGTGGCAGCAGAAGGTAAACCTAATGCTAAAGGACAAGGGCCTTGGCTTTTTGCTTTTAGTCAATGCATAACGTGATGGCAGAAGGTTGTATACTGAGAATGGGTTAATCTATGGCGACCTTTAATAGGAGGGTTGAAAATGACATCATGTTCTGCACGAATGTTATTCACAGCCGGAGTGATACTATCCTTGAATCACCTAGAAAGTTCGTAACGAAGCTGTCTGCCGTACCTTTAAGAAGATGTCAATGAAATGAACACTCGATGCCTCCTTCACCTCTCCACCAGCTAGAGAGGACTCAGATAGATAAAGCTGGGCAGCATTGAAATGGAAACAAAGTGACAAGGAGGAATGGACGTAGAAACTTATGCCCACGAAACTTTTAGATCCTTTCCTTCACTAATTTAGTTCTTTTAGGTCAGTGTTCTTTTGACTACCGGTGGACATGCGAGATGGCCAACAAGTTCCCCTTCCTCCAACACAGTTACCAAACATGATAATACTCCAGATCTAGTGGAATTGTTAAAAGGGACCAGTGACATTGCTGACAAATATCTTCAAAGTTGCACGGAAGTTCGATGACAGACACGGGTGTTTCGTGATTAATCTTCTTACAGCATCGATTATATTGTGTTGGTCATTGGGAAAGTTGTCCAAGGGGATCCCCAAAGACGACGCTCAAAAGAGAGAGGCACTGTGTAATACATTGACTTTTTGTTTAGCCCTTCTATTTGGTTTATAGGACACCAAAGGCTTTTCTTCTGCACTTCTGTAATGCACATTCTGCCTTAGTATCATGCCTTCTTTCGTTTTCAGGGAAGGCTCGAGGCGCTGCAGTAAGACTTTTGAGTAACAAACTAAGTCCGTCCAATGCTTGTTATTATTAAATGAAACATGTTTGATGGTTTTACTTAAAGAACTAGTGAAGAAATAAACTTTTATTTCAACAAAATAAGGCTTTCGTCTTTTATGCCAAAAGCAAAAAGCACAAAAGTGCGTCCCATTTCTGTGCAGACAAATTATCATTAATTATCACTATATTTAACAATAAATGTGCTCCCTTTCAACTTAAGTGGATTTCTTAAGCCTTTCAACACCAAAATTATACACCACTTTGATATTGCAAAAGCTTATTTGGTAAATAACACGCATGAAAATGAATTCATAAAACGCAATTTTGGCTTTACATCATATTTCGCACACTCTTAACTGGTGTTTTCAGAAAATGCATGAGGCTTTCCACTTTTGTGTCAGGTCCCAATCACAGAAAGGTCAATGAACACGGGAAAATGATTTGTTTTTTGATGTGAGTTACTATTCGTTCTTTAGCAGCAATCCAGTATTTTACACCTCAAAAAGACTTTTTAGCAAGAAACAAATTCGATTAAATAAATTTCCAATTAGTTTCTCCGCCATTGTCCCTTCACCGGGTGAGCTGGCTTCTGCTCCACCCCGGTCGAATACCTCCCCGATGCATCTTTCAGTATGTCGAACACATGTTCTATCCAAGAGTTAGGCCCTCCTTTGGCCTCAGGGGAGTTTCGGTGTACCACATTGGTGGCAGTGAAAAGTAAACCCAATCCTAGAGGACATCTATCCGGATTCTAACTTCAGGGAGAAAAATCTTAGCGAGTTGGAAGAAATGCATATGCTACAGATCGAAGGGTCAGTGGCGACCCCTAACAGAAGGGCCGAAATTCACATTACCTTTGATACCCACCTTAATCTCGTGTTCTGCATAAAAGCAGTTAACAAAAAAGCGACAATAGCCATGAATTATTTCAAAGATTTCAGTACTGAGCTGCTTGCCATACCTCTATAAAGATGTCAAACATGTTAGACCTTGAAATCTCCTCTACTTCTCTACTAGCTGGATGGAACCCAGAGGGATTTGGCTGGGCAGTTGTGAAGTGAGAACTACTTAGCCCAGAGAAAGTGAAGCAAAACTTTATCTAAACGGAGCTATGTTTAGTCCTGTCCATACTACATAACGCTGCTTTTAAGTCAGTTTTTCTACAACTATCTATGGACACGAGTAATGGCCAGTCCATTACCTAGTCCTCGAATCCAATCTCCATAGAGGACGAAACTTTATCATGAAAATTTGATGACTGGCAAGATCGGCTCGAGAGTGTTCCTCTTACAGCACCAATTGCGTTGTGATGGCTGCATCGAGAGGCTGAACTAGGGGAGAGCCGGAGTACATTCTTAGAAGAAAAGAGAGGGTTTATAACACTTTAATTGTTTGTTTAAATCTTTGTTTAGGTAAAAAGGCCACTTTGCTGCTCCGCTATTGTCCTCATGTCAGTGAACTGGCCTGCTGGCCATGCCAGTAGCCCCAAGATCTACTGTGTGTTGAATATATATCTTCTGCCCACGTCCTATGTCTCCTTTCTTTTTCAAAAAGTTTCAGGGGGTACATTAGTTTTTAATCGGAAGTAAAGGTGTAAGAGTTAACCATTGGACCGTTAATTAATGAACAGATATCAATCGAATAATGTGATGTGCTTATCAAATCACATTTATTTTGCCATCTCGGAAAATGAAGTGTTGAATCCACTGCATGCTGATGAAAATAGGTAGATGGTTCTTGGAACAGTTAATGATAAGTGAAAGGTGAATTTATGACGAAAGCGAGGTCTTGTGAAATCAGCCTTAAAAAGATTTGCTGATGCATCGCTTGGTAGAATTTTGAGATTATTTGAGAATGCTTCTGCTTCTTCTTCCCCTTGTTTATAAAATAATCCCAAATTCCAACATAGCCGATTATTATAGCACTCCTTTGCTAAGGCGCATTTATAAAGGACACAGTCCAGTCATCAAATTGTCCATGTAGTTACGGCTATTGGCAAAGTAATTGCGGCAATCTGCAAAAACGGTGTTTCAATTGCTGATGTCAAAGTGCTTTGAGGAATGACAGGTAACGCATCAGCAATTTTGTAGATTTACAAGGATATTCATGCACAGAGGTGACAAATGTATCTATTAGCTTTTCCATAAGATGTCAAAGAAAAATTTGCCATTAAAATGCCACAGATATGCAAGAATAGATCGACTAAAGCATAAAAGGTGCAATTGTTTTTGCTTGATGTAAAATTTTTGTTAAATGAAAGTCATTTGAGTTATTAAATCTACTGCCTTCATTGTTATGAACGGTAAAATAAGACATCAAACATGGTGTGTCAGAGTTTTGTATTTCTATATTTTGAGGAATTATGATTATCATTTCTGTAGGCGGTGTTTTAAACACAGCTTACTGTTTTGATCCATTTATTAATTGCCTACCAGTTTTAGATGAGAAGTAAAAATTTTAATCAACTGACCAGAGGGCTACTAAGATGAGGTAATGAACCACGCTGATAACAAAGTAGTCATTTGAAATAACCAGATGTACTTTTTGCGCCTCGAATGTAGTCTAGGAGATAGTTAGAGAAATCACTAGGTGAATTTTACAGCTAATGCCATGTCATTGCAGGGGCGAAATGTCAAGTCACTGACGAGAAGACACAGAAACTGCGATCTCACAGATTACTTCAGAGCAAGTTGTTCGCGTTTTGAGGCATAAAAACAAATAAGTGGAGGTATGGGTTAATGTTTTATGAAGTCCTAATGTGGGATTTTGCATACACTCACCTAAGGGCATGAGGGGCAAATTCCAACAAACCAATTTTGACAACTCCATCAAACTAAAATCACAAAAAATAAAACTAATTGTCAAGCCCACTTCAATTTTGACCTCACGGCATTCTCGAGGTAGATTTCACACACATCAATTGGAAAGTCATATTTATTCAAATTCCCAAAGAATAAATGCCACTAAATCATTTTCTTGTATGATACTTTGAAGATATGTTTCAAGGACTAGAATAAATTTATAATTTTGAACGAAGTATGCTTAGAAAATTTAGAAACCTGCCCTAAAAAGTCAGGTTTTGCTGTTTCGTTGTGAAATATAGTCCTGTTTGTAAGAACCGATAAGTTAGGGTTTATTGAAGGCAGTTTGCCATATTTGCACCATTTATGTGAATTTTGAAAAAAACTCCATGGCACACAAATAATTGTCGAACTTGTTAAAATGGCCATGCAATTGTGCTATTCGACAGAAATACTTCAAGCCTCCAATTATCAAGGCATGCAGTGTATTCATGCCAACTCTCACTTTGTACCGTCCACACACTTGGGAATTGTTAGCCAAAAAAGGCGAAGTAGGGACGTTATGAATACCTATGAAAATATTTAGTCTTTCCTTAGAAAATGTGAAATACTGCCTAAACATAAGGCAAATTGTACTGAACACGATATCCTTCATCCAATACTATAGGATGATATCAAGAAACTTTTCAAATAATAACTACTTCGGTGGCCGGCATTGTTTTCAAAGTATCCATACTCCTCGTTAAAATAAAGGCACAAAGTACCAACGCATCCTTTCAGACAAACTTTTTTCTCATCATTTCACATCAACTTGTGTCTATATTTTACATTGAAAGCAATCATTTTTGCCATCGAAAACCAGAGCCTCTAAGGCGGATTATTTTGAAGCTGAACCAGCACACAAGGCCATAAACGGAGGCTGTGACTTTCTAGGTTTCTTTGTTACGCTACGGTTGTATATAAATCACCAAGGTAGCTTTAGGGTCCATGCGACTTCTCAAAATAAACAGTGGTTTTGTCTGGGTTGATGAATGAAAGGCCCACCTGAAAGTGCAAACAGCACTTTTCAATTTAAAAGGCACGAAACCAAATGGTAAACTTCCTCTCTAATGTTCGTCAGGATTGTGAGTAGGCGGTGCTTCCACAAGAATAAGCTTTGCTGAAGGCAGCTTAAAAACTTATGATTAGTCATCATCTACCGCAATGAAAGGTTTGCAGATTAAACTGATAAGTCATCCTTGGGCATTGTGAGGATACACACTTTGGTTCGGTGTTAGCTTTGTAATTCTGATGGCAATCTTCTAGGTCGTAGGATAACCAGATAAGGCATTTATACAGCGCATAAAAATTCCAAAGTTCGAACGACGTTAATGTCACACTTCGCCCGTGACAAAAATCTCATAAAATGGAAAGGAATGTATGAATGCGTTTGCCTATATTCATTCCAGCATTGGTTAAAATAAGGAAGAAGGATTCACTTAGAAAAGACAATAGTGAAAAGGTTACTCGCCTGCAATAAGAAAAATTCCAAAAACCTCCTTTAATGCGACGGAAAGTCAGCATACATTTTGTAGAGGATTACCAAATTCAGAGTTATTTTAATACAGTGGTATTGGACTTGTTCATTTATCGTGTGACAAACCCCAAAACAAAGTAGTTTTAGCACACTTTCCAACCTAATCTCTTAAATACATTGTATTACATACATTATCGCATTGTTTTATGAAAAATCCACTTGTTAGCTCCTCTCACATTCGAAATCGACAGTGTGGTGGTCAGATCACCACACCTACTACTTGCAGTCAAGTCCACAGACCGTTTGTAAAGATAGAAGCACAAGACAACACACACCGGTTGGGAAGTTTTTTTCGGTCTAGACGGACAATCTCGGGGATTGAAGTACAGGCATGATCTAGAGGCTAACCGCC